CATTTCTCACAACCTTTTTTTTTTTAAGGGGAGGACAAAGGGTTATGTTGCAGTGTTTCCAAGTGATTACCCACAACAGAGGCTCAGCTTGATGCCAAACCACAATATGTGTCGGCAGCTTAAACAAGTACATTCTGAGGTCCATCCATCACAATTTATGATACATTAAGGCAAATCTAATGTTCTCTCAGGCTGGTGTTAGGGGATTTTCAATATTTACACTAAGAAATTGCATTTGGGGAAAGGGATTTCTTCTCTCTTTCTGCCATAGAATTTGTTTAGTTCTGTGGAGTCTCGTTAAGTCTATTGGACCCCTGTTATATCCAGTCTTAATCACAGGCTGATTTTAAGAATTTGAAATGTTAACTGGGTGCAAGAAATGACTTTAAATTAACATCACACAAAGTACTATAAGCTGTTCCCTGAAAAAAAAGTATTCAATTGTAAATTTAAAAAACTTGCCTACCAGCCAATTAACTATATTAAATACTTTATATTTTCAAAGCTCTATACAACTGCTAATAAACTCTTTCTCTCACAATAGGTCTCAAAAGGAGCCTAAAACTATTGCCGACTATTTTTATAAATGATGCACGTGAACCATAAAAATGAGATTGTTCATCTTGGACCACATTGAAATTAAAAACTAGAATGAAGTTTCAAGTTCTTAATCTACCTTGTTTTCAGAAATGTTGCCTTAGATTTCTGAACAAAGTTAGACGACCATATAAATTTCCCTCTCTTCTCTTTCTGTGATATCTCCCTCTCTATGTCTGCTTCTCTCTCTCATACCCCAAGGGCATTTCTTCTGTATGCACCTCAAGTCTTTTCATTATGGGAGTGACATAAAACAAATGCTGAGGAATGGCTCCCTAGCCAAATGGTCCATCCTTCTTATTCTGATTTTCCTTGATTTGTTGCTCACCTACCAGACTAATCTGTCCCTCTGTGGTTCACATTTGGCTTCTTTAACATCTGTGTCATTTTAAAGACCAGTAGAATTGATTCAGGCCAAATCTTAGAATTGTCTGATACTGAGATCAGCTAATATTTTTTATGAAGTCAATCTTAGAAGAAAACTGGACTATATTGCTTTTTATCAACACAAACTCAAATTCACTTTCTTCCTTTTTTTTTTTAGTCTTTCTGATGCAGCATGACCCTTTTAGGCTGTATTTCTGTCACACAGAGAGAAGATTGCCCATCTGTCTCCCTCAGAGAAGCTGGTAGATTTGGACTACCAGAGACACAGCCTTTGGGAAGCAACACAACTCTCTATGCCAACAGGACTCCCCTTAATTAACTATGATAAATACTTAACATATTTTATTTTGCTTAGTACTTGCTTATAGCCTTATAATCTTTATGGTTTTTATTTTTTAAAAGTTAATTTTAATAAATAAGTAATCAGATGCATTTTAATTTATTAGTTTAAATCTAGTCTGATGTGGTTACAATTCTGCCAGTGTCAGCATGATGTTCTTCAGCAATAGTTGGAAGATGTACTGCAGTCCCAAAGGCATACACTTTGAATCTACCCGCTGCTCCACAGCAGGATAAGCAATCTCCTCCAGTGTTATTTACTGACTCTGAAAACCTGGAGGACCAGCTATGAGTCAGTTCCAACTTTATAGCACACAACAACAACATGCAAAGCACAGGGAGCTCAGGTGGCTTAGTGGTGAGGAGTTGTCCGACCAACCCAAATGCACACAGTTCGAATCCATCAGCTGCCCCTTAGGAGGAAGGTGGGCAATCTCCTCTTGTGCAGTTACTGCCTTTGAAAAGCCACTGGAGAGTCACCTGTGCATCTGTTCCAACTCAACAGCACATAACTACAACAACATACAAAGGACAGAACTGGAAAAGAATACCTACATAGTAAAAAATTATAAACACTGAAGCGGTTTTCATTGTGTTTGTCTATGGAAACTAATATAAAGTTTTGGAATAAAAATAATGATAACAGGTATTTCTATATGATGATAATATGAATTAATATGAAGATTTTAAAACTTTCAAAGTCGTATAATGTTTGTTGTTTAAAAATATTATAAAGCATCCAAACTCCTTCAGTAATACTCCAACGGCTATAAAGTCATTTTGCCTCTTATGCTGGACTAAATTTGACTGAAGAAAACCTTTGAGTGAAGTGGTCAAGGGTATTGTTTTAGGTAGGAGAAGTAGGAAGAGAAAATGGTAGGCATTTTTACATTGTTTTCTATGGTATTTATTGATTCAGGAAGCAAATTCGTAATAAAATTATTTGGAAGCTGCCAATAAGTATCATTAAGGTTTGTCATTTACTTGTAGAATCAAGATGAGGAAAATTCTTAGCAAATTAAATTCTTATATAAGAATTATGGGGTTTACAAAAGTAAATGCCTGTTTAACATGCATTTAGATCTTAAAAATACATATGATCTATGCTGCCGTGATTTGCTTTGTGCTGTAGAAGTTCAGGTTCACTAGAAGTGTGTGATAGTATATATTTTAAGTACATTTCCCAAAGGAGATAAATATAAACTCATACTTCACTCCCTATTATAATATGATATATTAGACAAAATAATAAAATACTATAATTTTTCCAATCTCATTCTGGAATAACCTACTGGAAAAAGTGTGGCAATGAATGAGTATGTTTAATAAACTGCATTTTACCATGGAAAAATGTTACAAATAGCAATATAAAATTATATTTAAATACTTGTCTTTTAGAGTGTTCATTAAAACTGAAGCTTCATTCATTTGGGCATTCCTTAAAATTCACACTGCTTCAGTTCTATCGAGCTTACATAATATGTGTTTTGTTGTGAATTGATCTATAGTCTATAAGTATATGAATTGCAGTGCTGGAGTGTGAAGGTTATGACTTCTTCGCTCATTTTATAGAATCAAAGTCTGCCCTATTACTTTATCCTGAAAAGGAGATCCACATAAACATTTCCTGAATATATACAAGATATAAATATTGATTTTTTTGAATAGACATTCATTTCTCCTCTAAAAGCAAAGAGGAAACCACATGAAATACTTGTCTAAGAAAGAAAGAAAGCTTAGAAAGCTTGAAAGAAGCTTAGAAGCAGCTTTTATTCCCAAGTTTGATTTTTTTAAAGTTTATTTTGTTGTTGAGAACATAGCCAGGTAAGCACACAAATTCAACAATTTCTACATGTGTAATGCAGTGATTGTCTTCAAGTTGAGCAATCAACCATTTTTAGCCTCATTTCCTGAGTTTCTCCCCATTGTAATGTCAAATCTCTGCCCCCCCAAAGCGGCTAATATGTTCTTAAACAGTTCTAGACTTTTCTAGAGTGTCCTTGGCTTTTACTGGATAGAGAAAACACTAGTTAAATTCAAAATAGGTTATCCTGGAAGCACTAAAGAACCATATATCTTTGTACATTATGTATTTATATTTATATTTAATGAGGAAAGTTAATGGTCAAGATTTTATTCCATAAATGTGTTTCGCATCGAGAAAGTTATATTAAGGGGAGAACTGGTGGAAGATGTTGGAAAATAAAAGAACATGTGAAAGGAAATCTCAGTCATAAAAAGGAAAGTCTCCCACACTAAGCCCATTGACCCATGTAGAGTTCAGAGCCAAACCATTAGCAAGTTCATACATGTTCCCAAGCAATATTCCGATTTCCATCAATGCTGACCCAGGAGGTGGGAACAGCAACTACCTTAAAATCAGATAGTCCTTCTGTTAAGATAAAAATAATGGTGCATTTTATAGTATACATGGCAAAAAATATTTTGTCTATCTTCATGAGAGTGTCAGTACTAATTTTTACTAGAAACGTTTGTGTATAATACAGTAGAGAAGTTCATAGCAATGTTGTGACTTAATTTTTTCTACTTGAGGTATTTCAATATATGAAAATGTTTCATAAATAGGAACAGACTCAGTTCTTACCAAACAAGTTTTGAACAGCATATGGATGTAATCTTGGGGGGGAGGGAGCGGGGAATGTCTTAGATGTGGCATTTGGGTAACATTTGAGTTGTACAGAAAATAATGACATACCTAAAAGATTAGAGAGCTCTAGTGGCCTAGTGGTAAGAAGCTGCACTGGAATTCCAAAGGCGTAAGGTTGGAATCTACCAACTGCTGTGTAGGAGAAAATGGGCAGCCTCCTCCCTTGTACTTAGCTGCTTCTAAAACCTGCTGGAGGGTCATCTGTGGGTTGTTACCAACTAAACCAGTACACAACAACAAGAGGTTAAATATGTAAAGCATTGGGTTTAATGATCACAGTATTATACCCATTCTTTTTTACCAACACAATTAGGTTCCAAAGACAAGATTGTTATGGGAATATCAGCCTTATATAAATATTGAGGATGACCACATCAGATCACTAAATGGAAGAGGACTGAATCATTACATATCCACTGAATTACATCTTTCTACAAATAGATGTTCTATTACATCAGTGCATAAAAGCAAACCATTGAGAATCATAGCTAAGCTACCAGTGTTACTCTGGCCTCAAATCTCAATATTTGTTTTTGTCAACTGTTCATGGCTAATATGCAAAATAGTTGCATAGTATATTTTTACTACTGTCATAAATTTGGAATGCCAGATAAGATAGTTAACAATTGAGTATTAGCTAAGCTTTCAAAGCTAATATTCTATGACTTAATTAAAATAGGTGACATCATTTGTTCAAAATTCACTGGCAAAAACTTTTAAATGTAATTATATATAGATTTGCAACATTAATTTTTCTACCATGAGAAAATATTACTTTCTGAAAGTTAGTGTTTATAGAGTTTTGAAGGAAATTAGATATTTTCATTACTTTTAGATTAGATAAAAGAAGTTTATTGATGTGCTTACTGCTTGGAAATAGTCAAGAAATAGATGTACTCTGTATTTCTTTTTAAAATTTTGTTTCAGCCCAGAGATGATTGCCTAAAGTGAATGAATCCCTAACATTATGAAAGTAACACTAACTACTTATGGAATTTTTATGTTGTAGCATTAAAAAAAGGACGATTTTGGATCACACCAGATCCTTATCACAAAGATGACAACATCCAGATTGGGCGTGAGGTGAAAATATCTTGCCAAGTAGAAGCTGTACCTTCTGAGGAATTAACCTTTAGTTGGTTTAAAAATGGTCGTCCATTAAGAAGTTCTGAGCGGATGGTTATTACACAGACGGACCCTGATGTCTCTCCAGGAACGACAAACTTGGACATCATTGATTTAAAATTCACGGATTTTGGGACATACACATGTGTAGCGTCTCTGAAGGGAGGAGGAATATCTGATATCAGTATTGATGTTAATATATCCAGCAGTACAGGTAAGAAGCCTATATATGATGCAAAAGATGATCATATTTAGAGTCATTTATCTAAATTTAGCAGACAAAATAATCTGTACTCAAACTAAGAAATTTTTTATCTTAAAAACAATTTTCTAAAAGCAAAATCCTATAATTCTAAATGTCCAGTAAATATCACTTTGTAAGATATTTTTATTTTATTCTGTATTAAAATCAGGTTTCATAGATATTGTGCAAATAAGATTAAAACTACTGGTAAAGGTAAATATAGGATTCTTGGTTAAAAAGCACTTGTTCATAAATTAGAAATCCTCTGTAGAACCTAAAATAATATTTTTATAGCATTAAACGATGTATTCCTGAAGAGTTAAGGAAACTTCAGAAATCAGACATTTTAAGCAAACAAAAACTAGCCAGAGGTGGAATTGGGATGGGGTAGAAGAGGTAATTTAAAAGTATTCAAATATAAGAAATGTTATATAATGTACTTTCCGCTAGTAAAAAGCAGTGATAAATGTGTTGTTGTAGTCAGATGTGACTTTATGGTCAGCATTATGGAGAGCATTATGGTAAAATCTTTTCACAGTGAGAATTTTTAGACACACACAAAAATATGAGTGGAAATTTTTTATTTAAGATTAAACGTGAAAATGTTATCAATTACTCTTAATTAAATGGACCCTTGTAGATGAGGGCCGTTGCTAAGGTTTGGTTTGGGAGGATGTACTTCATTAATCTTGGCATATGCTGAAGCTCTGAGATTGTATTGACTACAGTGCGGATGCCTCTGGAACATTTAGTGTAGCAGTTTGTTTGGCCAGCCTGTTCCCAGATTAAATTTTAATTTTGCATTTATATTATGCTAGATGAATATTATGTGTCAAAATATAGAGAATTTTTTTTATAATCAAGCAGCATTTTTTGTCTCTTATACATCAGGAAATTTACCTGTGATTGACCTGCCTTACTCGAATTTCACTGCACACTGTGTTGATTTTATTCCTACAAACTATAAACTCATACTGCAGTCTGATCCCATGGGCATACTTTTCACAATTCTGCTTGCATTTGGGAGGAGCTCTGGTGGCCTAGTCAGGAGGGACCTGCACTACTAACTGAAAGGCAGCACCACTCTGGTGGTTCAAATCCACTACCTCCTTGTAGGGGAAAGATGAGAAATGCTCCCCCACCCCCCAGAGGATTTACAGCCTCTGACTACCCACTGGAGGATTTACAGCCTCTGACTACCCACTGGAGGTTCAGCTATGAATCAAATCCATCTCAATGGCAGTGAGTTAAAGAATAAGCCATAAACTGGTATATATTATTCCTGAGATTCTATTATGAACATATTCCACTGATATAAAAATACAGTTAATGTAAAAGAAATAAAAGGTAATGAAAACAACTTGTGTTTGAATAGATGTCCTATATTCAACAGAGAAAAAATGCTTTTGTGACCTAGCAGTAAGAAGCTGAACTGCTTCCCAAGGCTGCTCCGAGGGAGAAGGGTGGGCAGTCTCCTCCCATGTGATTAACTACTCCTGAAAAACCACTGGAGGGTCAGCTATTAGTCAATTCTGACTCGATGGTGCATAATAACATTCCTAATTTTATTGATACTTGAATATTGATGTTAGCACTGGCAAGTGGATTTATTTTAGGAGTTTTTGTGAAAAGCTGGTATTATCCCTAGATATTCACTAGTTATATTATTGACATTTTATGTATTCATTCTGTAGACAAATAGTCATTGTTTGTTTTCATCAGTTTGTTAAGTGGCATTGTGCTTGGGGCATCTCTACATACCACAGTACCTATAAGAATAAAATTGTATTAGATCTTGTGTGTTTTGTGCTTACCAGCTGAAGAAACTTTCCAAAATTGGTCTACACATTGTAAGTGTTATTTTCTTTTGTATCATAGCTTGTCTTGTTTTGTTTGCTTGTTTCTTTTCAGAACCAGTGATACAATAGCCAGAGCCAAAGAATTAGTTTCTCTAGCTAAAAGGAATTGTTGATGGGAGCATAGGTCACCTGCTTTTAAACGTAAACATAAGAAGGAGAGAACTTCTGTAGGGATCTTGAAGAAGACTGGTCAGTGTGGGTAGAGGAGTTTCAGAAAAATAAGTTTTTTGAGTTAAAGTCTGAAAAAAATATAATCATAATAATCATAATAAGTAGAAGGGCACATTTAGCAAAAATCAATGTACCGAAAATCTCAGGATATTAATGTGATTGCTCATCATGCTTGGAAAAGTGGAGGGTCAGTGCAAGAGGAAGACTATAAGAGATGAATTTACACAGAAACTACAACAATGTGCTTGAGAATGACAGTGACTGTGATGATGACACAGGATATGACAGTGTTCAGATATGCTGTTCATAGTATTGTTCTAAGCCGTAATCGGCTCGGCAGAACCTAGTAAAATTTTGCTTACTATCGGATTGATAATCAAACTCAAAAATCCTCCAACTTATTGTCACCTGTTGGAACCAGCCCATAAATGACAATCTAGTTGAGTTTTCAGAGACTATGAATCACAGAGGAGGACCTTGTCTCTTTTATTTGAACTGCCAGAAAGATGCAACTTTTGGGATAGCAACACAACTTTCTATGGACCAGGAATGCTGATATTAGTATTAATATGACCACATCATAATGATTTATTTCAATCTTGTATTTTTTCCTACTGAAGCTGTATTTAGTGTGCATTGTTTTTGTTAAGTACTGTCAAGTTGGAACCCACCCATAGCTAACCCTCCAGTGGGTTTTCAGAGGGAGTCTGGGGGATTTTAATCATGTGCCTTCTAGTTGGCACAGATTGGCCACAGAGTTCCTTACCGCTGAGCCACCAGAGCTGCAGATAACATGAGAATCCACCCCCAAAAAACTATAAATACTCAATTGGAGGCATATTTATACTTAAATATTAATCATTACAATATAATCTTAAAAAGTAAAAAAGAAATTACATCATATTCTGAAAATGGTAATAGTTACAATTTTAAACCTTTAAATATTGTCACTTAGGGATCAATTATGTATTTACATGTAATTTTATACTAGATTTTTAACTTTCAAATGACATACTAAAAATATATTCCGTTTTCTTTCAGTATTGCTCTATGATGACATCATTGCTTGCATGTTGGCTTACCTGTATTCTTTTGCATGACTTGACAAACTTAAAGATTTATTAAAAACTCATAGGCATATGCCTCATGGATTAAAAATATAAACAGTGCATAACTGAAATATATGACTTCTGTGTTGAGACATCTAATGAGCAAATTCATATTTTGAAGGAACCTTATCAAAATGTGTGTATAGAAAAGAGAGGGAAAGAGAAAGGAGAGAGGCTACTAAGTCCCTCTCTTTTATCTTTAGGGTAGAAGAGGAGAAAAAAATGGAACGACATTTAGATTATTAAACTGGAGTTTGCAATATAAAGTGCCTTGACAGTAAATTACTTTTTTTGAGATGCACCAGTTATATCAATATTTTTTACTACAGTGAAATCTGTAAGAGCTAAAACTTGGTAGGATTGGTTTTCTGTAAGAGCTAGAACTTGACAGGATTGCTTTGTTTTTCTGAGAGTCACAATTTTAATTTTACAGCTATCTATTTACTGTGATTATGGTAACATAAGTGTCTGCATCAGTATCTGTGCTCGTGGAACAAATATTTTGATCACTCAGAGTTGTGGTAAATGATAATACATATAGTTAAGGAACTTGAGGACAAATGAAAAACTATCCAAATCCATGTAATTTTGTTTTCCTGTTTGCACTTTTTCAGTTAAGGAAACAACAAAAATATATGGGTTAATTCTGATTAAAACTGAAGGTCTAAAGAATTGTGGTAATGAATGGTATATTTGTTATATGTGAAAAGCAGACATTAGACCTGGAAGTGCCTTTATCGGGGCAACCCACTGCAGACAAAGATTTCGTGATTAGCTCTTAAGTTATAAGGCGCATGAATATTTGTTTTCTTCTTTGACTCCAAAAATTTGAGATTCAATTAATGATCTTGGAATTAATAATTGCCAAGGGTCAGAAAAATTTATTTATAAATGTTCAGAAAGTAATTTGTTCAAGTCTCTGTTGCAATTCAACTTTGTTATTGTAGTAAGAATTTAACTGCAGATAACTAGTAAATTAATGTATTTAGCTAGGTCCCTAAAATGTTATTTACTAAATAAGATAGCAGGATTGAATTGGCCATAGTTTATTGACCTCTAATAGAAGTCTATTGCTGTTTTACTTACCTTAGAATCCAAATCAACTCATAACTGATCCTCTGGTAAGTTTTTAGAAGGCTTTAAATCACAAAACAGGGAGCTCTGGTGACTAATGGTAAGGAATTGCACTATCAACACAAAGGTTCAGAGAAGTTGTCAGCTGCTCAGTAGGACAAAGATGAACAGTCTCCTCCCATCTTATTTACTGTTTCTGAAAACCCACTGGAGGGTCAGCTATGGGTCAGTTCTAACTCCACAGCACACAATAAAAAATTGCAAAAGAAGAGATTGCCTGTTTTCCTCCCAAACAGCCACTGGTGGATTCTAACCATCTGCCTTTAGATTGGCAGCACAACTCTTTACCCACTAGGCCACCAGAGCTCCCTAGATTTTTGAAACCCTATTAAGAACTAAAATAATAAAGTTGAACCCTATGCATTTTATAGGAAATTACGTTAGATCAATATGTAATTGTTATTGTCTGTAAAAGATTAGTACATTTTCTAGACTTATGTAAAATCTTCCTTACCATATTATTCATTCATATGCATGTATGTTTATTGGGTGCCAGATGTGTGCCCTTGCTAGACAGATTATTGTCTCCTTGATTGGTTTACTTTCTAGAATTATGTCACAAAGAGGCCTCAGATTACTTTGCACTATTAAAGATTTACTCATATTCTGCTCCTTCTCTTTTCAGTTTATGAGCACTTTGATCTGTCTTTATCTAGTTTTGCATATCCTTTTAAATGTTGAATTAGGACATGGAATG